AGCCCATCCAGCTAGCACGATGGTGAAAGGCGTCGGAAAGGAGGGCGCTACGAAATCGGGTACTCGCGTCTCGAGTGCCAAAAAAGAGGGAACGCGGGATGTTTCACGGGGGGCAGTTGTTGTTGGAGGTGGGGCAGTCAGCCATGTTGCGGCCGCCAAAAGAATAACTGGGGAGCTTAATGAGCTGGTCTTTGAGACCAAGAATTTTTATGCAGGGACTGCGAAGGGGCTGTTGGAACTTGCTCAAAATATGAGGCAATCTTGATGACGGTAATAACCGAGAATGCCCATCTTAGCGGTCAGGTAGATGCTGTTAGAGGAAGTTGTGGGAGACACTCCTCGACGCCGAGCAGGTCAATGCCGGATCCGTCGGCACCGATGCGTGTGCCTCGAGCGCCTGTGCTGGAGGCAATCGCACCGGTGGCGCCGAAGACTGTTGAAACCTGGTCGGTCGTGGTCAGGAATAAGGAGCCTACAACTTCCTCTAAGGAAGTAATCGATAAAGTGGTTCCCTCACTTGGTGTGAGGGTCCACGAAGTTAGACCAATCAAGGGTGGTGGGGCGGTTATTCGCAATCCCTCTGTTCTTGAGAGAGAGAGTGTGGCGAATATCAAGAAATTCGGGGAKGTGGGGTTGGACGTCTCTGTCAAACGAGAGTTGGGTCGTCGGGTTTTAGTCCAGGGGGTCCATACGGAGATTCCCCATTAAGAATTCATGGAGGAGCTACTTCGGCTGAACCTCCAGGATTTCAGCCCGGCGTCCCAGATGTCGGACGTAAGGATGGTCAGTCGTCCCTGGAAGGTGACCTCTGACGGTAGCACCAATGTCGGCCTTGAGGGTACAGACAAGTTGATGTCCGCCCTCCTGGAGGCTGGTAGGTGCTACATAAAGTGGTTCTCCTTCCGGGTGCGACCGGATAGCCCCGTCGCTGGCTGCTTCCGGTGTATGGGTTTTGACCATAGGGTGAAAGAATGTAGGGCTACAAAAGATGTCGGCCGGAGGTGCGGTCAAGAAGGCCACAAAGCTGTCAGTTGCGTCAATGCACCACATTGSCGCAACTGTGCGTTCAAGGGGAGACCAGCTGGGCATCTTATGATGTCAGCTGCCTGCCCTATATATTGTGGTCTTGTTGAGCGCGCCCTCGCCAGACACTGATGGGTGGGATCATCCAACTTAACTGTCAGGGCTCCTATGCCGTGATGTGTGAGTTGGGGGGTTGTATGTTTGAGGGTGGGTACTTATTGCTCTACTCCAAGAGCCCTACGCCACCAATGGTGTGGTTCGTGGTCTCCCTGGGGGTTTTAAGGTCTTCACTGACCTTAGAGCTAACGCCGCAATAGTTGTGAATAAACCACGCTACGATTGGGTAGTTGTGGATTCTTCACAACTGGGTATATGTGTAGCTATAGAAGGGGAGTTTGGTAGGATGATTGTCTTGCGAGTAGTAGCCCATTTATCCTAGGGCTGGATGCGAATSCCTCGTCCTCGATGTGGTTTAGTAAGGTATTCCGGCATTCGTCTGGATACCAAAGCCACAGTCGAGGCGAGGCATTAAGCGAATGGGTGGTGGCGATGGGCCTAAGGGCGTGAGTGACATTGACGTAACGCTTATGAATGAGGCAGCAAGTAGAGCTTTCAGTGTTAAATGGGGGGTTAAGGGAGGGTGGGGATTGAGTGATCATAATTTGATTCAAATTATGGTTACCCCTCAGTCCTCTCCCTTGCCTTATGAGAGTCCATTGCGGCGATGGCGTACCTCTGGTACTGACTGGAACCAATATGGACTCTCCGTTAACCTTGAAGAGGAGGACTGTCAGGTCCAATCTGACGGTCCAATTCTGATAGGCTGTCCCAGCTTAGGTACGAAGTTAGTTGTGCGGATAGGGAGTATAAGGTGATGTTAGTTAAAGTTAAAGAGGAAGATTGGAGGAGTTTTGTGAGAGAGAATAAGAACGACCCACCCCTGAGGTCAGGTCTATAGGATCTGCCGGGGTCGTAGAAGGGAGGATGTCATCTCTCTTCGCGTCGGTGACAGTCTGTTATTGTCGTGGAGAGAGTGTGCGGGGGTTCTGTTAGGTGCGTTCTTTCCTAGGCCGGAAGTGCAGCTGCCTCAAGCACAAGAGGTGCCTGTTCCTCCATTAGATGATGGGGAGCTGGGGTACGCCTGTGGCCTGGTTAGGTCTAAACGGTCCCCGGATTTTGATGGATTGAACGGAGAGATTCCGGAATACCTGGAGGCCATTTAAATAAGTGCGTTTGGGAGGGATACTTTGCACGCGAGTGGAAAAGTGCTAGGGTTGTTCCTCTCCTGAAGTCCCCCGAATAGATCAGGAGCGATCTTATCGAGGCATCAGTCTCCTTCCAGTACTCGGCAAAGTGCTGGAAAGAGACATGGCTYCAGGAGCTAACGCGGGGTATGTGGTCGGATAGGCAGTTTGTGTTTCGGAAATAACGCAGTATAGAGGATGCTTGGTTTTATGTTCAGGATGTCGTTAGGGAGAATGTCAACAAGTATGTCCTTGGCATATTTGTTGACTTAAGGGGGGCGTTTGACTATTTAAGCTCGGATCGAGTGGTCCAACGGCTGGAGGAGCGTGGCTGTCCGCAARTTACTCTTTGGCGAAGTTATTTTTCGGACAGAAAGGCCTCTCTTGTCGGCATGAATGGAAGTGTGGAGATTGGAGTRGTGCGTGGCTGCCCGCAGGGTTCCATCTGCAGTCCATATATTYGAAACCTTATGATGGACACTCTGCCTGGGCAGCTCGAGCCACTCTGTAAGTGTTGTGCGTATCCGGACGACCTTCTTTTTATAGTCGAAGGTCGCTCGCGGTCTGAGCAGAACGGGCGGGAGGACAATTTTTAGAAATTGAAAACTCTAGGGGTTTAGGTGTGGGGGTTGACATATCGATGGATAAAACGGTGGAAATGCTATTGAAAGGTAGATTGTCGCCGGTTCGTCCACCGATTGTCCGTGTGAATGGTGTGTTTTACTCCACACTTGGCGAATGTGAAGGAGCGACTGCAGGCAACTATAGGCAAAATACGCCGCATTTTGAGGAGCGATTGAGGTCTCGGACGTCGTGCTGTCCGCACCTTATATCGTGGCTTGTTTGTGGCCTGTGCCACATATGGAACCCCTGTATGGTGGGAGGCAGCCACGACTGTCTGACGGTCTCAAAAACTCCTCTCAATCCGGCGTTGTATGATGCTTGCTTATTTGCCTGTATATCGCACCGTCTCAACGGATGCGATGCAGGTTTTATTAGGTGCACTCCCTCTTGACCTGATGGTCATACAGCGTGCTGTTGCATTCAGGTCAAGAAGGGGTTTGAGTGTGTCAWTGCTGCGGAACGATTGGATTTCCGACGATGATGTGGAGAGGGAGGGATATCTAGGGAGCAGGAGGCTCCTAGATGATAGGGTTAGGCGTAGGTGGCAAGAACGTTGGGACAATAGTCCTAACGGCCGAGTGACGTACGAGTACATTCGGGACGTTGGGTTCGTTGAGGAKAACCCAGACTTAAGATTTTGTCTGAGTCTGGGTTTTCTGCTTACGGGGCATGGGCCTCTGAATGCGTTTTTTCGTCAGAGGCACCTATCGGATACGTCAGGGTGTTTTTGTGGGGCGGGGTCAGAAAATTGGTCGCATTTAATTGCGGAGTGCCCGATGTACTCGGACATTAAGGATCAGGGTGATATGGAAATTAGCTGGACCGAAGGACAATTAGATGTTAGTGGTGTGATCTCCACTAGTCGGAATACCGAACAGTTAGGGTTGTTTGCGCGTGAACTATTTAAGCGGCAAAGGCGGTTAGTTGGAAATTGGGGTTAGATTTGTATGATTGGTATGTGTATGTGATGTATTCATGGGGTCCAACCCCTGGCCACCAGTCCAGAGCCGTATGGAAGCSCAAMTGGTAGTAGTTTCGGCTACGAGGTCTGACCGGAGACTTAATTCTGGTACCACGGGGAGCAGGAGCCCTTGGAAGTAACTCCAACCAGCTCATGCAGACTGGCCCCTCAGAGAGTATCCTGGTGGTTGTGGTTAAAACCCAAATGCGGGAAAAACTGACTGACAGAGGTCCAACCCCTGGCTACCAGTCCAGAGCYGTATGGAAGCTCAGCTGGTAGTAGTTTCGGCTATGAGGTCTGACCAGAGACTTAATTTTGGTACCACGGGGAGCAGGAGCCCTTGGAGGTAACTCCAACCTGCTCATGCGCACTGGCCCCTCGGGGAGTATCGTGGTATATATGGTTAAAACACAAATGTGGGAAGAACTGACTTGTCAGTTGAATGTGGAGTTGCATTGTAACCTGGTGCCGGACCCAAAGCACGGCAGGGGTTTTAGATGGGCCTCGAATCCGACCAAGGTGGCTAGTGTGTCCATTCCACTCTGCCAATTGGTACTGAAAATGCTTGGTATTCTCAGGGCGCTGACTAACGCATTGATTTTATCCGCTGTACTTTTGAGTACCGTGGAGTAAGGCTGTCGTCAGCAGGTACCCACGTTAAACACACCGGACGTTGTCCTTGTCCCGTCCATCGCATTTCTTAGACGGCGGTGATGTCATTTTTATTTAAGTACACAAAATTTTATCGATTTGTTTCCAGTAGTTTATAAGAAAACAATTTTACAATTTTATTGTGGCCTAAAATTCAATCTTCAATAACATTAACAAAAAACTGAATTTTAACGAAATATTAAAACACGCGGTAAGCGCCTGGTCGCTCACCTAATGATGCTCCACAATTTTGCTATTGTTTCATAGGTGATTTAATTGCATAGGTATAGGGACATAGAAATAAAATCTGTGCAATCTAATTTGGAAAAACAAAAAACGAGAATACAAATGTAATATTACTAACCACAATATAATTATATATAATGAAAACCCAGTATAATTATAGTTATCTATTTTCTACAAGACTATCTACAATTTAATATAAATAAAAAATTATAAAAGGTTTAATTAGCACAAATTTATTTCCACTATTTCAGATATCAAGCGATGGMAACCAAACTACGAGTACTTTATCAATTATTTTCGAGAAATCTGATTCAGGCAAGTTCCTGTCCTGTAAAGCATACAACCTTGCTAAACCAGTAATGCCATTAGAAGACGGATGGATTCTAGATATACAGTGTAAGTTTTAGGAAGTAATAATTTTTCAAAAAGTTTCAAAGTATTAAAGATGTAAGAAAATCATTCAAAATCATAATAATAATGTTTTGAGAAACGTTTACTAAATTACATAGATATATTAAAGAAGTAAGGAAAATCACAACGCTAAGTCCGACTTACTCTTGCAACTCGCAAGAATCAAAGCTTGGGAAAATCCTTCAAGTGTTAGTGAAAATGTTTATTAAAGAAGTAAGGAGGGTCTAACGGAACATTTTACACTCTTACAACTTGAAAGGAATAAAGCTGTTTTAATAATTTTAGGTATATAAGGCATGTTAGTTATTGGCGTCTAGGCCAAGTTTTAACCCAATTTTATTTATTCTAAGCACAAATATGCGCAGCAAGAAATGTGTTCTCTTAATTTGTTTAGATAACCCACATATTTGCCTATACATGGGTTTAAAGGCAAGGCGGAAGAAAAGAAAAATGAAGACGAAAAATGAAAATACGTTATATATCGAATATAAGTACTAATTCTGCTACTTAATATTTCAATTAAAAATAAGCAAAGATTAATCTCTGATCTCAATGGAGTGTATAATATTTTTGGGAGGGCCTTTTTAGGAAACAAAGAAATTGGATTCTTTTCTTATGCAAAGGCATGCCACTTAACGTAGTGCATTTAAATTCAATTGATAAGTTACAACAATGCCAGATAACGCAACAGTCAATGTGATCGTATTTTTTGATCGTGTCTAAGCAAGAATGAAAGTTAGACGTCGAGAAGTTGCGATCACAACAGACAGTCTAACGATTTTCTACTTGTCCACAACACATGCAGGACACATTTGCAGGTAAAAAAGGAGAGGAAGAAATGAGTGAGTAGGAAGAGCTTGACAAGCATGTTGCGTAATACTCGAAAATTCCACGAAAACATGCGGCGACTAATACAATGTTTCAAGACTGGAGCATACTTTTGTACAATCCCCAGAGGTGATCTAGTGATTAATGCCCAGAGAATACTTAAATTATGGAGAGAACACTTCTTCAGCGATAAAAAATATCGTTTAGGATTAACTTTGCAACTATCACCGTGACACAAGAATTTCATATGTTTAATATATACCATATAAATGATAGAAATGGCGAGAGAAATATAAATCTGGGTGTGTATCACCCCGTCCATCTCTCCCACTGGCCAAGCGAATCTTAGTAAAAACTTAGGTATGGTGATGAAACGTCTTGCACATATAACACGTTGTTCTTCTTCTTTACTGGCATAGAAACCACTTACGCGGTTATAGCCAAGTTAACAACAGCGTCAGTCACCAGTTATCAATTGGAGATTTCAAGCGAAGCCAGGTTCTTCTCCACCTGACCATGCCAACGGAGTGGAGCTCTTCCTCTTCCTCTGTTTGGCCTGTTGTCTCAGGCCAACGCGAAAAGGACCACAAATCTTTCGCAGAACTTTGCTCTCGAAAACTCGAAACGTCGACTCATCAYATGTCGTTATCGTCMATGCCTCTGCACCATATAGCAGGACGGGAATAATGAGTGACTTGTACAGCTTTGTTCTTGTTCGTCGAGAGAGGACTTCACTTCTCAATTGCCTACTTGTTCGGAAGTAGCACCTATGTTGGATTGTTCGGTTTAGTTCTGCAGCTCGAATTATTTTCTCCAGAAGTAAGGTGAAGAAGTGACACGAAAGAAAGTCGCCCAGTTTGAAGTCTCGTTTGGTATCGAACGGTTCGGAGGGCTCTTTCCCTATCCTAACGGAGCTTTTGGTGTTACTCAACGTCAGCTTATATAGTCGTATTAGTTTTGTGGGGATAACAAATTCAGACATCGCGGCATAAAGGCAGCTTCTTTTCGTGCTGTCAAAGGCAGCTCTGAAATCGACTAAGAGATGGTGAGTGTCGATTCTCCTTTCACGGTTTTTTTTCCAAGATTTGGCGCATGGTGGTCAGATGTTGATTTTCCAGGTTCAAAGCCTCAGTGGTAAGGTCCAATCAGTTTACTGACGGTGGGATTTAATCTTTCACACAATAATATCGATAGAACCTTATACGCGATGATGAGGAGGCTTATGCTACGGTAGTTGGCGCAGATCGTGGGGTCTCCCTTTTATTTAACTGGGCAGAGCACATTTAAAATCCAATCGTTGGTCATGCTTTCGTCCGACCATATTCTACAAAGAAGCTGACGCATGCCTTTAGCAGTTCTTTGCCGCCGTGTTTGAAAAGMTCGAGGGCAATCCATCGGCCCCGCCGCTTTATTGCTCTTCAGAAGGGTAATTGCTATTCGAACTTTTTCATGGTCTGGCAATATAACGTCTGCACCATCGTCATCGATCTTTCTAAGAACGTCCGTTTGAAAGCGAGTTAAAGTGAGAAGGCGAAACATTACTTACACAGAGTTGTGCGCTAGGTTCGGGACCCGCCACGTAAAAAACGTCCCCAAAAAAATTTACCAACTACGTATTACGGGTTAGAAGGCTAATACTGCAGAGGAACGGAATCGGATAATTAGGTCCCCAAATTCCGTAAATCGAAAACATATTCTTTCTATTCCTATTTATATAAACAAGCTCCGAATTGAGGTAGCAACTGTAGTTAAAAACAAGGAATCATAGATGAAGAAAATATTTGCAGTTTAAAATTAAGGTCCCACCCTCTAATAGGTGGATATATCTCACAAATCACTAAAGCTATTTCAATCAATCTATTTTAGAAGAATTCCTTTTAGATAATAACTATACGCACTCCTCATCCTCTTTCTAAGTTGAATGCTACTAAGAGTACGACAACTCAATAAATAAATGCGTTAGAAAAAGAAAGTTTAGTAAGCTAGTTTAGTGTTTATAATAGCCGATATAAAAACTGGACACTAAATACAAGGCCCATCTTGAACTCCTTGTAAAATCCTATACCTCAGGAAGTATTTAACATTATATCGCCTTTTCTTTCCAAGGGCTAAGTTCGGGTATAACAAAAATGAATATAAGACATGAAAGGATTAAAGCTAGTGCAATTATCATAAAAACACGTTATCTTAATTTTATTATGATAATCATTTATTGGACGATATATGAGGTATAAAGTCATCTGGAAGTTCGTACATCGGAGTCTATGGAAGTAGTATCAATCTGTTCTTCCCATTTTGAACACACATACATGCTATTATCAAGAAAGAATTTTCTTCGAATTTCAATTATACATATATAGTAAATATCTCACACATTGATCGCAATTTTTGCTCATTTTTTGGTTGTAATATATCGGGAAAATACCGMAATATGTGGGCGGGGCCATGTCTATCGTCCACTTTTGATCCCGGCTTTTATAACGCGCTCTTTTACCACCTCGGTGGTAACATTTAATGTCGCTGGCATATAACGCCCATTTAGTAGTTTTTACTAGTAGAGTTATATGGAAAGTAGGCAGAGTTATAATCCACTTACATCCATTTYTTCTAATAGCGCTTTGGTTATTTTAGCTTGAACGATTTGGGAGATACATTAAACCTATTAGAGGACGAGACTAGACCCACTTTTTGACAGTTGTTGACCCACAAGTGTAACTTGCTAATACAATCTGCTGTATCAAATTACAGTTCTATATTTTAATTTAATGCTAAGTTATGGCGCTTTATATGTTTTCGTTTCGTTACTCGTCTTCAATTTTTTACCATGGAACACATATACCATTACGATATCTCAGTTTTTGCTCAAGTTACAGCGTGCACAGACAGGCGTCCCGTCGTTCCAATCATTTATTTGCACATAACTTAAATCAATCTCGATTAGTGATTGAAATAACTGTTAGTTGAACAAAACTCTTATTCTTTGCTAAAACACGAGAACTTCAGAACCGATTTATCTAATTAAAGTTTGCAACACCCAGAGGGAAGTATCGGAAACCTTATAAAGTATGTACACACAAGTATAGAAATGATCAGTATGTTGAGCTGAGTCAATTTACGACACGATATACAAGCCAGTACCTCAGTTTTTAAAATACCATTTTAAAATTTTGAAAACGTCATTTTCTCTTCAAGAAGCTGCTCATTTGCCCGAACTGCCGATATCGGACCACTATAACATATAGCTACCATACAAAGTGAAAGATCAGAAAAAAGTTTTTGTATCTTCACAAAAGTTGTAGTTTCCTAAGAAATTGTTCAGATCGGTTCATTATAGCATATAGCTGCAATACAAACTGAATGGTGAGAATAAAACGCTTGGATGGGAAACTTCCTCATTTGACGATATATCTTCATGAAATTTGGTATGAGTTATTGTTCATAGAAATATGGTAATATCTGAGGAAATTTTTCAGATCGGCTCACTATATCATATAGCTACTATTCAAACCGAACGATCGGAATCAAGGGCTTGTATGGAAACGTTCCCATATGACGTGGTATCTTCACGAAATTTGACATGGATTACTGCTTAAGGTAATAATTTCATCTCTGAAAAAATTGTTCAGATCGGATTACTATAGCATAAAGCTTCCACACAAACTGTACACATAGTTGCTTAAAGAAATGCAGCTGTGATGGGTATATTAGCAGCCGCAGTTAACTTTTCTTAGTCTTAAAACTTTCGTGGAGATCCAGAGAAAAATTATGCAGTGAGAAAATGAGAAAAAAATAGCGATTTTGCTTTTGTTCATTTGTCTCGCTAAACCATGAGAAAAGCTGAACCGATGTACATACAAGGTGCGTTCCAAAATAAACAGCACTTAAAAAAAAAACGGAACAGATATTCTTTTCGGCAAAATCAATTTTGGTTTGGTTTGATGGCTGATCAAAGATCACACTTAGACTAATAATGTAGTCCTTTGTGATGCCATAGAAAAGAACTCCCGTGTTCGAACTTACAGATTGGCGAAGCGCTTTGTAGCCAATATATAGTTACACAGACGCTTAACTTCAACACCCGCCATTTCAAATCAATTTGCTTTGTTCAAAATAGTATCCTTATGCTTCAATACAGCTTTTCGCATGGTCCAAAAGCA